TCAGTAAAACTATATTCTATACTTTGTGTTAAGTAGAAGAATTACATGGGTTGTCAGTAAAAACTATATTCTATACTTTGTGTTAAGTAGAAGAATTACATGGGTTGTCAGTAAAACTATATTCTATACTTTGTGTTATGTAGAAGAATTATGTGGGTTGTCAATAAACATTTACTGTTCTCTGTGTTAAGTAAATCATTTAACTTGCAGCTGTTGACAGTGAACTTTTTTTTTCTGTACAGTGTGTTAAGCAGAATAATGAATTGTCGGTAAAAACAATTTTCTATACTTTGTGTTAAGCTGAATTAATTGTGTTGTTGGTAAACCTTACTGTTTCCTATACTCTGTGTTAAGTAGAAGAATTTACTGACAGCTATAGTTAGTTAGTAAGTAGAGTGAGGCAATAGGAATTGCACATTGTATTAAGTAGAATATAATGACAGCTGTTATTAGAGTTAATTTACTAATGGTTGTCTATTGTTAATTATGTAATAAATTTACTAGTATTTTTAATCAGTTAGCAGTTAAACATTTTTAAACAACATAATAACTTGGAAGAGTGAACCACCATCATCTATTCATGTAATGCACAATGAATATCTTCTCTTTACAATTCTGTGCAAACCAGGCTTCGTGAGCTCACCTTCAGTTCATGGCAAAATGATACATCTCAGAGATACATGTTTTAAAAAAAAAGGAGGTAAGATGATACTAAAACCAACAAGAAAACTACAATTTTAAACCATAATATTTACTGCTTGTGACTTAAACGGGTGCCAGCACGCATCTACCAACTGTAAAAGTCTCTCACTAAAGACAAATTAAAATATTTAATGACAGTCATAATTTATGCTGAGGTATATTACAAATCATCCATGTAAGCTGTATTTTGAATGGAAACTAAAGTAGTCATAAGAGCAATCATTCAAAGCCTTAAAACTAAGAAACAGGAATAAAACACACACACACAACCAGAACTTGTTATTTTCAAGGAAAATGTTATAATGCTTTTCTAGGGCATTTTGAATTATATAACTTAATGAAACATTCATTCTTTACTCAGTTATAAATTTAAATAGGCAATGTGAGTTGTTATAGTGAAAATTATACAAGCCACTGTCTAAAAATTTGTGATGGAATATTTTTTTTCTTCTATGAACAGTAAAACAACAACAAACATATCTGGTTTGGCACATAACATCTTGACTTAGGATGGTAAAAGACAAAATAATAATCTGATATATTCTCCAGGTGGAGATTTCTTGAAATACAAAACAAAATTTTAAGATATAACACTATTTGCAGGCATAGCTAAATAATAACCACTATCATGCTCTAGTTAACAGTATACATATATTTAGTTGAAAGTCTATATATGAATATTATAAAGGATTTAAAATGCTGTACAGTGATTATTTATACAACATACATACATGTGGCTTCCTCCATCGGTACATTTGGCAAAACTAATTCTCCTGTACAAGTACACACTGATTAATAAAGAGCCACAAAGCCTTGGCATTCTTATAACACTCATTAATTTATACTCCTGTAATGCTAAAATTACAAACCAGTTTATGTACATATTTGTCTTTATGGCACATTTGTCATAAAGAACTTGTTTCAAATCACTCGGAAACACAGCTGCAGTAACGCTAATGAAGTGCTACGCAACCCCCACTTGAGAGGTGGGCCTATGAGTTGCTTGAACCTGAGATAAAGATGCCCCTGGCTCTTGCAGGAAATGACTTTTCCGTTGACTATGTAGAAGTGGTTGGCAAACTAGACGTTGATCTTCACAGTCCAGTGAAAAACTGCCACTGTCGTTCTGTCTCTCTAGAAATGTCAATAATCAGATGACAGAGATAATAAGCATGCCTAGAGTATATTAAATAAAATTTAAAAAAATATTTTAGATTCAAAAGATTTTTTTCAAGATAAGTTAAAAGCGTGTGAATATACGAGACAAAAGATGGAAGATGTTTAAGATGAATAGTGAAAGACAAATAACTAACTTGTAGGAATTTCTTTTTCAAAACCGTATCTTGAAATTTTGCATAAACTGATTATAAACTTACCTTTTGAAACCCTGCTGTGCTTTAAGGAGCACGTGCTGCAACTGTCTGCAGATTTTGGTTCACCATTGTGATGTAAAATTCCAAAGCCCAATTTCCTGTCTGTTACATCACCTTCCGATAGTTCTTGGTATTTCTGATAAATACTTCTGCAGCTGTGACTGGAATTTGGAATGGAATGATGCTCTAGATTTACTGCAAGATGACCAACTGAAAGAGAGCGTTTTGTTTCTTCCACAGGCCAGTGACATTGATTACCTGGTGGCCTGTGTAACCCATCTTCTTCATCCATGGCCTGGTTCGTAGCAGAGATAGGATGGCCTCTCCATAACTTGTCCCCCCTAGGGTGGGTGTGGAATGTGTGTAAAAGTGGTGCCCTATGTTGCCTGCTGCTTGTCCTTGAAGAACTTTGCACTGTGTCTACAGATATGTTGCTCTGTTGACCTAACATACTAACCATACTTGACCCTACAAGAGAAAAATATCAAATAACTCAAAACTCCAGATATATGGCCTTACTTCTTCTAGGTATATTTGCTACACTAGATATTAAGGGACCTTAGAACTGGTCACACTAAAATTAAAGAATAAATTTGGTATTTCAAATCTATCACTCCAAATATATTAATCACACTAGCCATCATAGGAAACGCACACTATTTATATCCCTGTGATCAAACACATGCAGGTCTCAATATGACCTGCAAGATACATATGTGACAGACCTAGCACAAATTTACTTACTACGAGTCTATATTTTCTCACGTTTAGCCATACTCTGTATTTAGCAAGCAGTATATATGTGTATGTATATCACTGTTCCCTTTTAGCGCAACATACAAAATGACTAGAAACTTTAAGTTACATAATTCAATGAAAAGTGTAAAGCACTGAAGTTGTATGGTACATCACTGTCAGAAATATAAACAACTTACCAAAGTGTGGCATGGTGGTTCTTTTATGGGGAAACAATAAGACCTGGCCAGAATTCTCGTCTAAAGGAAGGAGCTCATCACTGCTCTGTTTAGAACTGTCACCAGTTCCACTGTCACGACTTGAATGCTCTACAAGTTAATGTAAAATTATCTTTATTTCAAATACAATGCTGCATACTTTTCCACACTAATTTATTAACACCTGCCACATAAAGCCAGCCTCGAATCTTTATGTGGATAAAAAAAAAGATCCTTTCTGGAAAGGTTTGGGTTGTTTTGATGGGACAAAAAGAAAAAGTTTGGCATTATTTTTTAGGTCTAGGTTCCTGGACCAGACCCGTGACCTGACCCAAGACCATGGGAGCCGACATGGAGAAGTTACCTTGTAAATGTAAAGTAAGACGATGCAGAAATGAAAAATTCTTGAAATGTTCTAGATGTGGTTGTGAATGTAATGGTTTAAGGGTAGTGATTAATCTAAACCGTGGGTCCAGGTTCGATGAGGGAAAAACTTGTTCAAAAATATCCCAATCTATTTGACAAACCAGATGAATTGGAGATTTGTCAATTAATTACTGCATTGACAGTGAAACATAACACAATGGGCACAATAGTACATTTATCCTCAAAAAGGGAGATTGGAATTGTATACAAGAAATCGTTAGTCTTAATATTGTGTGAAACTAATGTAACAGTAGAGCCCAAAGATGCTGTGTTGAAGTAGATGCATTACAAGATGATTTCCCTAACGATTCTCAAGTTAAAAATGCTATAGTTATTATGTGGAGTAAATATAAGAAGGATGGTATAATACCATATATGGCACCAACAAAGTATAATCTACATAGATTTCATCATGCCATATTTTCATTAATATTTAGCTGTTCTTTTTTCGTTTTAGAAGTTGTGTAAAATTTCATTCATCGAGATCTATGGAAATAACCCTAAATCACCAATTTCTGGAAGGACATCCCTCCCTGTTCTATCCTAGGGTCGGTACTAAAGGATGCTGGGCTGGCTCAATTGGCAGGTGTTACAAAAAACAGATAATATTTACTATACATTTCAGTCATGTTCCACAACCAGAAACAGAACACAGACTCAGCAGTAGTATTGTACAATAAAATATTTAATTAATATACAGTAAGAATTACCATTCATAAAGAATGAGTATTCAATAAGAAATTTCAGCCTCTACACGGACCATGTCCATTAAATCTTTGTTCTGTTTCCCCATCAGAGCATGGGGCATCACGAACATCAGAAATATAATGTCAGTCCTTAGAATCTTTTAAAAACTGTTACACCTACCCATAGCTGTACAAATAACATCAGCGGGTTTTGTCAATATTTCTTTTTCCCAAGGTTTGCCCATTATTTTCAGCAAACTCTGGTATTGGAAGAAATATTACTGTACTTTCAATACTAGTATTCTTTAACACTGATTAAGCATATTTTAGCTGCATTATAAAAAAAAAGAAAGCTGACATTAATGCTAAGAAGAAATGGTCACTTCTATCATATGAAAAAAAATGAGAATATAATGAAAGATCCATTAAAAGATTACTCAGACATGATCTTACGAAGATTCTGCTGTACAGAAATAACAACTACTTCAGTATTTTTGAAAATGACAATTATAAGAAAGAGAGATGCATTACTAAACATTCTCCCTGAATCTCCATTTACTGCAGTATACTCACCAGAATTATTGTCTAAAAACAGGTGAGCAGTTGAGTTCTTGTATTCTTCAACAGTACCGTGGGGATATGAATTATAAGGGGATATCTTATCACACGGCAAGGTAGTCTCGTCGGTTTTGGTTGGTGGATAATCATCTCCCCTCTTCCTGGTCTTATAGATGATTATTACCCAAACAAGAGAAGTCCCAACTACACAGCATACAACTGAGATGATAATAATCCCTGTTGTAGTGTTATCATCTTCTAAACCACCTGCTCCTCCTCTCGTTGCTAGAATTATTAATTTTTGTAATCTAGCATTAATGTAAAATAATGAAACTAAATTCCTAAATATTCTTCACATCAACATTAAGTGAATAAAATATTTAAACAATGACTGTGAAAAACATCGAACAAGCAAATAAAAAGATTTTCATACACTAAATGTAGCACAGAATGTAAGAAATCCAAGCTATTCGTAGACTTGCCCCATGTATTACAAAAACAGTATAGAAGACAAAGTTGACTGTTCGAAAAAATCTGATAAGAGTTAATTTCTTTACATATGTTTGGATAAAGTTTTGAGGTTTCAAACATGGTTTATCAATCCATTAGATGTTAGTGTGATACATGACTTCTCTAGTCTAACTGCTTTAGGTTTGATTGTGGCAAAACTGAGGATCAAAACAAATATTTTATGCTACGTAATCCAATAAAATATTACACTTATTTAGGCAATTTTGATTATTTCAAGTTCTATATCAACATCAAATATTCAGTTTTCCAAATAGAAAATTATTAGATTTTTTTATATAAATTTTGTTAACAAGTTGGATTCAAACAATCCACTTTAAAAACTACATGGATTCAGGGCAAAGTAAAGTCATTACGCACGCACACACTGATCTGTTATCAAAATTACATTATGATGAATTTCCCCATACGTCACAAATTTTGTGAGCTAGTGAGAGAGTTTAAAGATTATAAGATTTTTGACTAATGTTTCTTCTATGACTGTATGACTATGAACGACATATATTACCTAGGCTTGTTCAAAAGACTAGTTTATACTGATAACTTTAAAGAGAAAATGGAAAATTTCCCAGTTTAAGTTAATTAATTCATTTGTTAATAAGAATATTCCTTCAGCTTATGTTATTAACATCCTATAGGTTTAATTATGTGTTACTTTCAATTTTATATCGTAAACACTTGATTTTGTGGGTTTGATCTAAATGAATCATTTCTATAAACACAATCATAAACAATGGATACCGTGACTACATGTTCAATATATCTCTCTTGCTACGTTATACTTTACTTGAAATAGTGTTTTAAAAGAAGTATAACCTTTTATTTATGATTATATAAAGCCTAAAACCGGTGAAGGCACAATATCCTTATCATTTCACACAAAACTGGACATAGTTATGGAAATGGACATTTTATCCAGATGCTATAGGGTCACAAATAACAAGTAATTGAAACTAAATGGCCAACTTATCATTAATGGTATATGTTACTACAGAAAATAAATACAAAATATGTTATACAATCTTCCGACTTCTTTAAACAGAGCAGAACACCATGATTTTATATTGAAAACAGTTTATCAATGTACGATTATGAAATACAGTTTAAAGTTTCAGCAGTCTACATGTTTGGTCGCTAACTGACTTTATCAGTTTCCATATATGTCGATACAGCCTCAAGAATATTCATATTAGAATATTCATGTAGGTCGAGCTATGGTTCTCAGTATTTCACTGTATGCCTGGAATCCCCCTCTTCCGCTAGGCAATGAATTCTTGCCCAACAGATCATTTTTCCCGAGAGTATGGTACAATAGATCGGAACCAGGGTACCTCCAACACTAATGTGTAACATCCACTTTTATTGGTCTCTCAGTATACTTCATTGTAATGTTGTCTGTTGGCCATAATACTGTTCTGTCATCACATGAACTGTCATTGACTGTTGCCAAACAATCTGTATTTATATCAGGGACAATGGCAAGATCACTACTGGATTTTCATATACCACTTATACAGTATACTCTGAATTAGCTTGGGCTTCTTACTCTGACCACTTCAGTTATTAACAGTACTAGCTTCACATACATTCTTCTGTACTAATAGTACAGATTTTTTACTCTTCATCAGTAACTCTGAACTAAGCTAAAAGATGCTAATCAAGCATTAATTAAAGCTGTGAATGTGTGTGTCTAATGGTGAAAATGGCAAGAGCCAACATATTTTAACACTTTCCTATAAATACCAGTAGATGGAAAACTAATTAAGCTAGATTTATCAAACATAATTTATTCTGGAAAATATAATACAAAAATTATGACAAATATCCACGTAGAGAAAAAATTCTCAGTACATGCCTGGTATTATAATTGTGATAACCTTACCTGGTAAGACTGTTAGGTACGAAGAATCTGACTTTGATCCCATCGTGTTAGACATGTTGCAGACGTACTTGCCGCTATCAGACAATCTAGTTTGGACAATAATCAACAACTGGCTGTCGGCTGTAAAGAAGTACCTCTCAGTTGGAACCAGAGGAGCATCATCCTTCAGCCATGCCAGATTTGGCTTAGGACTACCAGCAGCCATACACTCCAAGACTGCTGTTTCTCCTACTCGTGTTTCTTTATCATCCATAGGTTTTACAAAAGTTGGGGTTTCTGTGACAAATAAAAAAATATATATATACCCTTTACTATATTCTCTGTCTGACAAAAACATATATCAAGTATATAATTAATTGACACTGCTTGCTCAAGTTTGTTTTATGAATTCTGAGTTTTAAAAAAATAATCATTGTTTCTGAGCATCAACAAAAACAGATATACTGTCTAAAAAAGTATATTTTTAAGTTTTAAATTTTATTTGCTATTTTCAAATGAGTTCCACTCAAAAATGTACTCTTTTTTAACACATCTAGAATACTAAGGACATTTTAGTATAATGGACATAGCGTGTATATATGATCCAATGCTTATGGCCGAAATAATAAATAGTGACGCCATCTATTGAATGGCACCATAAACAAAACTCCATAAAATAATTCACACTCTGGCTATTCAAGATTCTGACAATTAGACAAATAACTATGGTAGGCACGACAACAACCATTTTTTTTATCACAAAACACAATTTTTTAAGTAAAAGTACTCTCCCCACAACAAGATCACGACTTTCACAAGGACTGTACATGAGTGTTTGATTATATTTTTATTGATCTAATTTGTAAATGCAGTATTAAAAAACGGAGTTCTTAAAAAAAACTTATTTTTCCAATAAAGGGTACCATTTTAATATATATAAAACAGTACTTCCCATGAATGTTTTTTTAGAATTTTTGTCAATGAGCTATGAATACTGCGATTAGTAATTACTAGCACAAACAGCCTAGTCACAATAATGGATAAAACTTCTTAAGTAACAGTATTACTACACCTTTTTCAAGAGACATATATATTTACCTAAAACAGTTAATGTAGCATTTGCCATGATCACACCTGCATCATTTTTGGCTGTACAACTGTACGTGCCCATGTCACTAGTTTTTACTTTAACAATAAAGAAGACATCATCCGAAGGCATCACGTGCATTCTGCGTTCCCGAGCTGCAGGGAAGTCGTCGTCCCCTCCATCTTTCTGCCAAGCAATCTCTGGCAAGGGATACCCAACAGCAGCACATTCCAGCCTGGCAGTGCTGCCAGCTTTCACTGTGACATCAATCGGTGTTTTTGTGAACACTGGAAACACTGTATTGAAAGAAACATACTGATTTTTTCCAACATTTTTCTGACACCAGAAACGAATGACAGGTAAAACAGATCATTCTTATACAAGATTCTTGTGAATATCGACATCAATGACAGAAAACTGTATACTTAAGTCAATAAGGCATGACAGAAAACTGCTTACTTAGGATTTTAAGACAGAAAATCAGATATCGTGCTCTAACAACTACATTTTAAACTACTCAAATAAGGAGCCATAATTTTCTTAAAAACAAAGTGATACATTGGCAAAAGTTATATAGATTAACTCGTATGTTCAGTATAAACTTAAAACTATCTTCAACTAACTGTAAAAATATAGGTGCTATTGAAAATGTCTTATTCAAAGACAACAGTAAATTTAGGTCTCCTAATGGTTGAATAAAGCCCGTTGAACCTTTTAAAGCTAAATTTTGTATTGTTATTATTTTTTTCTAATGGAAAGAAAAAAGAGTCAAAGTTTACACAAAGGACCTGATAGTCCCCACATGCACGAAGGTCTTTCTGTTAATTTTCAACTTTCAAGGGATGTACAAGCGTTCACGTTAACACCTGGTGCTAAAATTGTGCTACTAAATGATAACTATCCATTGTAATCCACGAGCATAAATTTCAATTTATGAATATATAAAATAAGTGTTTGGTACACACCATGAACAGTCATACGTACAAAATAAACGTTTGGTACACACCATGAACAGTCATACGTACAAAATAAATGTTTGGTACACACCATGAACAGTAATATGTACAAAATAAATGTTTGGTACACACCATGAACAGTAATATGTACAAAATAAATGTTTGGTACACACCATGAACAGTAATATG